ATTTAGACCAGATAGGGTTCTTTAACGTGCACCCAAATCTGAGTACACGGGCCTACAACTATTTCCGCCTCCATCGAAATGCAGCCGCCGGGATTCGATCCCGTGACCTGCGGGTGAGAAGCCGAGCACCCTATAGCCTCTAGACTATAACGGCGGGGCTTTACACTACATTTTCAAGCAGAAGTTATTTTCAATGTGTTTCCAAGTAGACGATTTAAAAAGCGCACTTCAGTATTTTGTTCACTATAATGTACATTACGCGCATTTGTAATAATTAACACTACAGCAAAAAAAAAAGAATAGACGCGTGGCCTTGTTGTAGAACACTTGAATGCTACGCACACGGCTTGGGGTCATGGACAAGATGATTTTTTTTTTTGTTCACACAGTTTTAGTCGCTTTGCTCCGGACCCACTCGCCCTGAGCCCGCCACGGAGCTCTAGTGGCTAAGGCACTCGGCTGTTGACCCGTAGGTCGCGGGATCGAATCCCGGCCGCGGCGGCTATGCACGTTTTCGATGGAGGTGAAAACTTTTGAAGCCAATGTGCTCGGATTTGGGGGCACGTTAAAAAAGCCCGGGTGGTCTAAATTTCTGGAGCCCTCCACTACGGTGTCTCTCATAATCATATAATGCTTCGGGACGATTATTATTATTATTATTATTATTATTATTATTGTGTGTGTTTGTTGTTGTTGTTGTTGTTGTAAAGGGGGTTTATTGAAGGACTGAGCAAGCGGGTGGTAGCTCTAAAGGAACGCACAGGCGGACTCAGGTGACGGTGCTTGATCGCCGATCTCGTGCCTTTTTCTTGTGTTGATGATAGCTGACCTGATGGTATCAACGTCTTTCTTATTCACTACATTATTATTATTATTATTATTATTATTATTATTATTATTATTATTGCACTGCCCTGAGTGCCATGAAGAGTATTGCTCGCTCGTGCACTTGCTCTGCCTATGTTCGGCGTTAGAATTGTGGGCTCTCGGCGAGGCGAACGAGCGCATCGCCACGCCAAGCTCTTGGAGTGAACGGACACAGTGAACACGGTCGGAACAAAGCACACAACATACATACATTTATTAACCAATTTAGACGACGATATCGTCTGCCGAATGATACACCAATTTCAACTAACACGCTACCATACAAACCACATAACACAGTGAAACACTAAACACACAATAACATGATAAACACACACTAACACCCAACACACTAGCACATACCCAAGGCGGCGTCGCCAACGCCTGACTTTCCACGTGGGACCCCGGCGCGAAGCCCGCGGCGCCGAGCACCGGGGACCCGCGCTACAGACAACCGTTCGCGGCAGCCGCCACGCGCAGAAGAGGCTCGCTCAACGCTCGCCCACCGCCAAGGCCTGCCTTCCGCCAGGGGCCACCGCCGGCGCTACCACTCTACCAACAGTGGTACTGAAAGCGAACACAACGCCATCTATCGCCCGGCGGTGGTCACCACCGCAATAAAGCCTTGGGGCGAGACACGTGCGCCACGCGGCGCAGACAACTTTACAGGGGGGGGGGGGGGTGTCAGCACCCCCACATTCCCCCAACCTTAAATCAAACCATATCCCAAAATCGAAAATTAGCTACACAAGCTTTAACAAAAAATGATATCACACGACCATAATGTCCTTGCACCACGACACCGCCGCTGGTCGACACTGCTGCATTGTCCGGCTAGGCTTCACCTCAGTACCGATCCCGGAACAGCAACGTTGCCGTCGGCGCGACGATCCGTCGCTAGCACCGACACGTCTTCCAGTTGCGACCAGCACTCGCGAGGGCGCCGGACTGCAGGCAGTTGCGCAGGTCCCAGGCATCTCCATCGCCCGACCTCACGACCGCATTCCTGGCCAGTGACGCTGACGATATGCAGGACAGCCGGCCGTGGATGACATCCCTCCCGCTGAATACATCAACAAAAAACAAAACTCGAAAGAAACAATGGAGCGCGGCCTAGGGAGGGAGCTTCAGGCTTTTCAGCCACGTGGTACGGTGGTCAGTACTGCTAGCTAATACATCGGTGGCGGCCGAGACGCCCATCAAAATAAAAACAAAAATCACTTTTCCTAACTCGTGCTCACAAGAAAAAAAAGTGAGGGAAGCAGAGCGCAACACCTCAACGCTACGATCCACCAGTTGTGCCACGTGCGACAGGCGGCTACGCAGAGCCTTAGGCCTAATGAGTCGCTCGGCAACAACCGGCATCCACCCAGCACCCAGCCTAGGCGCAGGAGAGGCAGCCGCGAGGAGACGTCCACTCTGTGAGGTGGCCCTATCGCTCGCCGCACACAGCAGCTTACCGAGCGATCGGCGTCCACCGCCCCGGGCGGTGTCACGACGCCCCGGCGTCGAGCCGCAATACAAGTCAGCAACGACGCCCGGCTCCCTGAGCCCAAAGAGATAGAAGAAGCTATTCACAGAAAATCGGACCACCCACGAGGCTTCCGTACTCACTCGCTTCGGGCCTGGCCTACAAACCACGTGCTCTAGGCCTTGCTCACCCCAGGATGCGGACCGCATGGCTCTCGTCCTAATTCAACAACGTTTTTGCAAACTAACAACAACAAAAATAAGAACACTTGCGAGCAAAAAAAAATAGAAAGTCAACTTGCCGACAAATTGAAACACGTTACAAAACCAATCTTCTCGCTCCTCAACAAAGCACACCACCGACGCTAGCAAAGAAGTCCCCCCTAGGCCTACTCTACTCCGGCTCTAACAAAATCCCTGTACCGAACCGCAAGAACCGTCGTCCGACACTCCAAGAGCTCCACGTTGGGCAGCCAGTGTGGGCTCTCGGCGAGGCGAACGAGCGCATCGCCACGCCAAGCTCTTGGAGTGAACGGACACAGTGAACACGGTCGGAACAAAGCACACAACATACATACATTTATTAACCAATTTAGACGACGATATCGTCTGCCGAATGATACACCAATTTCAACTAACACGCTACCATACAAACCACATAACACAGTGAAACACTAAACACACAATAACATGATAAACACACACTAACACCCAACACACTAGCACATACCCAAGGCGGCGTCGCCAACGCCTGACTTTCCACGTGGGACCCCGGCGCGAAGCCCGCGGCGCCGAGCACCGGGGACCCGCGCTACAGACAACCGTTCGCGGCAGCCGCCACGCGCAGAAGAGGCTCGCTCAACGCTCGCCCACCGCCAAGGCCTGCCTTCCGCCAGGGGCCACCGCCGGCGCTACCACTCTACCAACAGTGGTACTGAAAGCGAACACAACGCCATCTATCGCCCGGCGGTGGTCACCACCGCAATAAAGCCTTGGGGCGAGACACGTGCGCCACGCGGCGCAGACAACTTTACAGGGGGGGGGGGGTGTCAGCACCCCCACAGAATATGCCTCTTTTAATAAAGAAGAGGACTTGGAGGAAGCCCTCAAAAGCGGCTATTTTCGTGAACAACTAAGGGCTGTCTAAATGGCCGGCGAAAGGGCTGTGGGCCATGGTCTTCCGGCCCCAACATATAGGTGTGGCCCGTAACTATTCGTTCTTGTAGTTTCTAAGGACCCGAATAAAGTTTGTTGGTTGACTGGCCGATCCTGTGCGCCTTGTGTCAATATCATCATTGGTATATGATGGTCTATAATTGAGCTTAAGGGCAATCTTTAGGATATATAATGATGGGAACGCCATAAATTCCAACCACCTATGCTACGCCCCAGTATACAGAGCTGCCCTCAAGCTAAAATAGTAACTTTTGTTACTGAATAATTTCTGATGTAACAGTACCAGCCACGGTAAAGTATAGCGCCATACAGTCCTATGTTTTATGCGTAGAAACATCGCCGCACGCGTTTATTGTTACATTTTGCTGTATTCTGTTTACCTACGCCCGCAAAGGCTGTTTGCAATGCTCCAAGCAGACCACGCCTTAGGGCTCGTGAAGCTTCGCGATTGTAGTATACATCGCTTTGTTAAGATAGTGCGCAGGGCGTGAACAGTCGAGCTTATTACAGAGATTGCGCGACCACCAGGGATAAGCCTTGGAAGTTCTATGCGTGACATATAAAAGATGGCGTGTCATAGAGTAACATATAAAGTTACTCTATGGGTGCGTCCCAAAGATGATCAGTTTGTCGAGTACCGGCGCTCTGTTCGTTACACTCCATATACAATGTGTATCGCTTGTAGCCTGACTGTCTTTTACAGGTACAGGTTCGCCCAAATGAAATAAAGGTTGTGTCTTAAGCCCGCCAACTGCTGCATTTTCAACGTCACGACCACGCGACAATATCTACTAAAGTGGCCGTAAGCAGGACCACCGCTGTAGCAGCTCCCCTCGTTCGGGCGGCGAGCGATTCCCATAGCGTGCTACCGCAAGACAGGTAAATAAGAAGAACGTTTCGCTGTCTTATGCGAAGACATTGCACGCGTTCTTTGCTGACGTCAAGTAGTGAGTCAGCCATGTCTTCCTTCGCAACCGAGCTATAAGCATACGAATGCAGAAGAAAAGTCGTGTTATGTTTGTGGCATGTACGCAAAGTCTCGGCCCTCAGTAATATCACGTCCACCCATATATCATACAGCCCCGAACTCGCGTGCGCATGCGGTCGCCAACAGAATGACAAGTTTGCTCAACGAGTCACATGCTTGCTCTAAAGGCTAGACGCAGTAGTCTTACGGTAAGGACCAGGAATAATACTTTCTTTCATCTGACTGCGATGAAATAAAAAAAAACAAAAAAATGATAATAAAACAAAATAATATTGTTTTATTCGACAGTATGTCTGCACATGATCCATTCTCGCTTCTGGCAAAATGCATGCAAGTCGGCCGGGAGTCAACGCTGTTACTGGCTGATTATTACGGCGTTTGAGATATACAAGAACAATGCATGTTTGCGTGCACGCACAGTCATCTACGCGTATTAACATTTGCAAAGAAAGTCGGCAGGATTGATTGCAGAGTTTCTGAAAGCATCAAATGTGGCAACCTATAGCGTCATTTTTGACATGCACACTGCACAACAATCGAGCCGGTGCGGGTCGTCACGTAGACGGTTCAGCGCACGTCGAAGCCGAATGTCCACAATATCACACAAGCCCACTGTCTTCCAGAGCGACTTGATATAGTCCAACTGTCGCCGCCGGCACTTTACTTTCACTATTCCCCTTCCCAACCTCTTTTCTTTGAGCTCCGTGCTCTCCCGGTCGCGCATGTCGAAGGGCGACATCGGAGGCCCAGCGGCCGGTTGAAGCAGTGACTGCGGATGGCGGTCCTGTCGGCTGTTGCGCTGGTGTGCGTTGTCCGTACCGAGCGTCACGGTCCTCATGAGCGAGCATAACTCTTCGCATCTTGGCAGCTGTTGCTGCGCTTGCTGATACGTCATCGTATGTTGTTGTTCACTGTCTCCCCCGCTGCTGTAATCGTCAGAGCCGACGGACCACAGCAGTGACGCGGATCCCGGCACTGTCTCCGTCTTCGTCTCGAGCTTCATGTAGTCGACCATCGCTGAGCACTTAGGCGAAGAAGGCAGGATGAGGCTGGCGTTCGCAGCGTCCGAGTCGAGAACGTACGGCTGTACTGTGGTGCGCTCTTGAAGGCACGGTTTTTATGCCGCCACGGAAAGATAAGAGCACTAAAACGCAGAACACACACACAAAAAGAATCATGGATAGAGCGCTTATCTGCGCGTTAATCTTTATCTTTCGTGAGGGTGAACTAAAGCGCCCAAGCAGCCGTCCTGATCATTCTCTGTTCACGACCACACAACTGATTGGTGATACGTGATACCGCTGTTGCTTTTCTCCGTACTTTGCCCACGTGTAGCCTGACCTCGTGCAATCTCTGCTATTTATCTTAAAGAAGATGTAGCTTTCGGGTGTTGTTCACGGCTATTCAGCAGACTATTTGCTAAAGATGTTACTACCCTCAACCTCGATGTCACTGAGAACACTGCGGTGAGTTTGAGCGCATCACATCCCCATACGTGCTCGCTTAATTCTATTTCATTTTTGCCACCCCATTAAATTGTGACCACTGCCTCGCGCAAGGCATGCTCGAGTGACTGGGTGCTCTCTAGGTAATCTTAAAACCTTCCTATGCTGACGTAGACAACGCGAACGTTAAAGTCAGTCCTGGAACTTAAGCGGCCGCCAGCGATAACACTGGAATTTCCGATGTCGCATGCATAAAATCCGAAGCGCGTGGCCCCTTGTGAAATTATCGACGGCTGACACTCCATTCGCCGCTATCAATACATAGCGTGTATTGCTAGTAGCTTCTGTTTCCATCTTCCTGGCCACAAGTGCGGCCAGATATAAAGATTCTTGTCTTCAATTCGTTGACTGCTGCCTTCTTCAACGTCACGACCCCTTCACGATAGTCAATATTATCAATATGATTCATCCGCCTAGGTTTCGAAGAACTTGGAGCCGTCACCTTAGGCATCGCCGTTATCATTGACGATGGGTTGGGCGGGACAGGGATTATTTCCCTTTTCCCCCTCGTTTAGCCCGCAGGAAACTTCCGGACTTCACAGAAAGTTTATTCGTTCATTCTAATGCAAGCACTTGATGAGCTGCAGTTTCAAGTAAACTTCTTTATAGCAACTCGTGCTTGTGTAACAGGCTCACTGTGCTGCCGATCTAGGCCGTTTAATTGGTTGAAGGTAAAAAAAAAAAAAAACGTAGGCACTGCATTGACCAAAATGAAAAGTGATTAAAAAACACGCAGAAAAGGGCGTTTCGGCTTCCACACGGAGCCTTGTTCACAAGTGAAATGAAAACACGTGTCAAGCGAATCTCCTTATGTACGCTTGAATATATCACGAAGGCAGCGCTCATGCACTGACGGCACATTACCGCCGTTCCTGTTGAGGGTGCGCCGAGTGGTAATTGCTGTCGCGAGCGTCTCAAGATAAAGCCGCCGTGACAGTTCTTTTCATCTAGCGTGAACACGTGCCTTTTCCCGATCGATAGCGTCAAACTTTGAATTTCATCAGGCCACTTCATTCAGCAGTCGACTAATCTCAGATTGTGTTTTTTTCTCCAAAATGAGGTGAAATAATTACATTATTTCTGGGAAAAGCCGCAACAAATACGGAGTTTATCGTTTGTTATCTAATCAAGGGAGCTGTCGCTGACTACCCACAAGTGGAAAGCGTGGCAGGTCGGATAAGCACAATCAGTTTTAGAGGCAGTTTTTGAGTTACAGCAACGTCATGAATGACTACTGAACTTGAGAACCTAACAAGTTCATCTCGGCATGTAGCATACCACACATCCCAACAACAAATTGAAATAGGACGAAGATAACGCACGTATTCCATCGTATTTTGCTTGTGTTGTGCTTGTGGCGTGCTAAAATAGAATACCGAACAACATGCCTAACCTTGCACTGCCCTAAGTCTCCTCACAAACACTTTGATCGAGCACGCTCGCAGAGCAATAACTAGACGTCTCGGTGCTTGCCTGATTGACATGTCGGGTTTAACGTCCCAAAACCGTGTCGGTGCTTGCAGCGTGATTGAAGAGTGCGCATGCGCGACAGTGCGAACACAGGAGATAAATATTGCCTCGTGTGTTTGCGATGTGCACGAGCGAGCGATAGTATCTACACCATGACCCCGCCGCGGTGGTCTAGTGCCTAAGGTATATACTCGGCTACTGATCAGCAGATCACAGGATCGAATGCTGGCTGCGGCGGCTGCATTTTCGGTGGAGGTGAAATGCTGTAGGCCCATGTGCTCAGATTTGGGTGCACGTAAAGAGCCCCAGGTGGTTGAAATTTCCGGAGCCTTCCACTACGGCGTCTCTCACAATCATATGGATATGTTATTACGAGGGATGCCACATTGCAGAGTTTCAGTAATTTTGACCTTCCAGGGTTTCTTCGATTTGCCCCTAACTCTAAACACACGCCACTCGAGCATTTCACCTCTACCTAAACACAGCCATTGTGGTTCTGATTCGATCTTGCGACCTGGGGTCATAGGTCAAGCATCGTAGCATCTAGAAAACCGCGGCAGGTGCCATTATTTACGCTACCTGTTCTCATCATAAAAAGAAAGTGTCTATTCAAATGTGCTCTCTATGAGCGAACTTCTCCTGTTATTTCGTGCATTCTTATATGTTGAAAACGCTTGTTCCTGTTTGCACACATGCTTTCTCTATAATAAGTCAACCTGTGATACTGCTGCAGGTTCACTTTTGAGAACAGAATTCTGCGCCAGTTCAACGCGGAGTTTGCCATTTGAGCATCGTCCAGGGAGGACAACCTGGACAAGCTGTCTTACATGCTGAGCCTGCACTCGTTGTGGGACGCGCTCCTGGACACCAGTTGTTGCACGCTTTCTGCGTGATGGGCTGTCGCATTGGCGACCAGGCAGTTTAAGTTCCTGGCACCATCCACTAAGTCAGCTTCGGGACCATGGGTATGGAGTGTAGCAGTTTGGTCTTCGTTGTGAAGCAATGTGGCCTTGGTTGGGCAGTAAGCCTTAGGCTACATGTACACTCAGACCTCGATACAATGAAGCCGGATGGAATGAAATATAGTAATGAAATGATTAAAAAGTAGTTTTACCATATGTATGCAATATGTATTGGAATTTTCGGATATAACGAACCTAGTTTCGTGTAAGATGCAACTTTCTTACAATGAGATTTGGGTGTACTTCAAATTCAGCCATACATCTTCTCCGACGGCGTCGGCATGATTTCTGAGCCACTGGCCGAAGAGGTGAGTCGAAGCGTGCCGATCCAACCCCAATTTGAAGGTTTTATCATGTGTGCAGATTGTGGGCAGGCAACCACTCGATGCAGTACACTCGCCCCCGATCATACTCGAACCTCATCACAATGAAGTTGCATCATACACAAAAATTGATTGTTATATCCAATAAAGCGTTATAAAATCATATCCCTAATCATATCTTGTAATGATACACAGTTGCACTAGGCTGGGGTGTCAGCCATCTTATTTACTTTTAACATCGTCTTCCTCTTCGTCTCCCTGCAACCCTGCCTAACGTCCACGTACACTCCCCCTCTTTGAAGACTCATCCCTTCTGGGGTGATGCATGAAGACGTTTCCAATGGTCGCAAACTCCAGTACACCGTCACCGCTGGTGTAACCAACCCTTCTAAAAATGCCATCTTGCACCACGTGATAAGGTCCCATGTACGTCTGCTTTGTGCCGGGAAGGCCTTTTCTGACGAGCACCAGATCATTCAGTTGTATCTGACGTATCCGCGTGTTGTGGCAGCTGTCAAAGTTTCTCTTCATACTTTCCCGGTATCGCTGGTAGGCTTCCGGAGTTTTTAGTTTTTCGCACAATTGCAGGCGGTCTGCAATGCAAAGTTCTCGATCAGCAGGACTCACGGGTACCTTTCCGAAAACTGCAAAATATGGGCTACAGCTGATGCTCGCAGTATGCGATCGACTGTGATGAGCAACAGCTGCCTCCAAGCAGCACTTCCATCTGCCCTGAAAACCTGCATACGTTGAAATGAACTGCTTCAAATCCCGAATAATTCTTTCAGCCATGCCATTTCCTGCAGGATGTTACAGGGCGCAGCGTTGCAATACAACTACTCGTTCCTTCGCCCTATCTTGCAAATGCTAAGAAACGCTGGTCCATTATTCGATATTACTATTTTCGTATTCTTGAACATCTCTTAACTAAAAAAAGTGATCACACTATTTGCGTCCTCCCTTCCCGGCCAAGCAGCCACTATTCTTGTGCACTGGTCGATTGCCACTAAAAAAAACTGCGTTTTCTTACTCCTTCAGCCTTATTCTTGAGCTCTGCAAAATCCAGATGAATGACTTCAAATGGTACGTTGGAATGTCGCGGCAAAACCATCTCGTCCGTTCTCTGAAGGTACTTGGCTTTGTGAACTTGACATTGATGACAAGACTGAGCATACCGTTGAACGTCCTCTTTCATGTGTTTCCTTTGGAAACGCTGACGAATCTTGTGGTATGTCCTCCAAAAACCGTCATGTCCCCCTGAGTGCGGGGAGCCGTGATAGAGCTCCGAAATTCGAGGCACCATTGTTTCTGGGACTTTGAACTTTTTGTTGTGGAACTTAAGTTCTTTAGTTCCCTCCCACAACAATTTTGCGTTGACATTTTCCTGATCAGGAATTACCGCAAGTCTTGAAAGCGCGTCTGCATCTTTGAGGTGTTCTCCAGGCCTGTGGTGGACCACGAAAGTGAACTGCTGGAGTTCACTCACCCACCTAGCAATTTTTCCTCGAGGTCCGGCGAGGTTAAGGATATACGTTAAGGCTTGGTGATCCGTAAAGATCGTGAAGCTCCTGCCATCCAGGTAAGGTCTAAAATAGCACGGCCATTAGGACTGCCAATGCTTCCTTCTCTGTAGTCGTGTAGTTCAGTTGTGCTTTAGAATAGTACCCGACGACCCTCTCTTGGCGGCTCAGTGGAAAGCCGGTACCTCTCTGGTAAAGCACTGCGCCTGTGCCATAATAAGAAGCATCAGTGTTC